TGAGATGGAGTCTTGCTCTGTTGCCCAGGCTGGAGTGCAGTGACGTGATCCTGGCTCACTGCAACCTCTGCCTCCAAGATTCAAGTGATTCTCCTGCCTCAGCCTCCCAAGTAGCTGGCACTACAGGAATGTGCCACCAAGCACAGCTAATTTTTTTTGTATTTTTAGTAGTATTTTTAGTACTTTGTATTCTTAGTAGAAATGGGGTTTTGCCACGTTGGCCAGGATGGTCTTGAACTCCTGACCTCAGGTGATCTGCCTGCCTTGGCCTCCCAAAGTCCTGGGATTACAAGTGTGAGCCACCATGCCAGTCCAATTCTTTTTATTTCTTGTCAAAAAGTCTTATGTTCTTGGTGGATAAACTGGTTGCATAATAAAACTATTTTAGTTCAAATGGAAAGATAGATTCCTGCCAGATTCACCCAGTTGCCAATTATCTGAACTGAAACAAATAAAAGTATGAAGTAAATTTTTATATCACCCTCCAAAAGCTTGTGAATTATATTCTACCACTTAAGGCTTTACTGGACTTTCTGTCCATGAAATTTTCTAATTAAAAGTAGAAGTCTATTCAAGAGTGTTTATACTTAGAAAAGATAGGAAGACAGGAACCTGAAAAAGGCTGTCTTGAGAAAAACCTCTGTTTCCAGTAGGAATATACCATGGTCATAATTTTATGCTCACATGTCACACAAAGATAGGCTGTTACTGGAGAGTTATTTTGCACAGTTGGTATTTTTAATTCTCCATTTTTTGTTCACAAATGTAGTCTTCATTTTAATGAGGAAGAGAAGTCTGTGTTTCTTCCATTTCCAACTCCTCTGTCCACTTCTGCAGGTCTTGTGCATTATGCATTGTCCATAACTTTGCAAAATACTTTAGTCTCTTCCTGGGGAAAAAGAAAATACTACTTATTTAATAAATGAAATTGCTGGGGGACAATACGTCTCATCAGAAGATATGAAAAGTCTGTAACATTTGAATACCAGGCAGGCTCTATAGTTAGGAAGCTGTGTTGTCACCCTTCAGAGCTGCTACTATAATCAAGGGACCCCGGGTATCAATTGCCACTACTGCCTCTGTGCCTTCTCCTAAAATCTCTACCCCCACCAACCCAGAGGGGAGAACCTGACCTCCTTCCCCTTCAAACTCTGCTAGAGGCTGGTAGTGTGTGCTTATTTGCACCTGAAGACAAAAAACTCCTGTGACGTGTTCCCAGGATGAAAAGTAACACCAGCCAAAGACAATAAAGCTAATTACTGAGTAAAATATCAGCATACCATAGACTTACTTTTTTTTTCTGCAGAATAGCAATCCAGTTGAGTATTTAGGGTCTGCAGCTAGAGTATCTGAATTCCAATTACTGCTCCACTGTCAACTAGCTAGTGTTGGTTAGTGTCCTGTCCTTGCTGGCCTCACTTTCCCCAAACATACCATGGGGATAAGGCTGCCGTAGGGATGAAATGAGTTAATGTATGTAAAGCAATGACCACAGTAACTGGCACAGTGTGTAGGCTGCTGCAAATGACTGCTCAGAATGATTTCTACACACAGTAACCATTCAATATATAGTAACTATTATAACAAATCCACACTAAGGCCCAAGATTCTGTTTGATTTCTTTGGTCTGGCCAAAGGAATTTATATGATAAGAATTTTTAGGAAAAAGGTAAAATAACAAATACAGTATCATGATAAAATTATCAGATTCCATTCTCATGCCACGTCTTCTAATAATTCTCTTGTCAAAATAACTTCATTAATTTCAAAATGTCACTTACTAGTTGGACGAGTTAAAATATTTATGAGTAATCTGTGAAATATTTTGCTCTTGCTTTATAGGCTCTACAGCAGAAACAAGAATATATGAAAATATAGAAATTGCCATATTTTATTATTATCTTGCATATATTTCTATAGCAAATATAGAAATTGATGTATTTTGTTGCTATCTTGTATATATATCCTTTGTAGTAAAGTTTTATTCTGGCTTTTTTTCAGAGAAAAAGAACAATAATAAGATGACAGCTAAAAGGAATTTAAATTTGTCTCTGGACTTTGCAGAGGAAGAGGGTTAAGTTTATTTTTAAATTCTCACAGATAACTTTCCCTCAGGAAAAATTTTATATGAATCTGCCAGTTATAGGCTGAAACTGATCATGCCACTTTGCTTCTGTTTTGGCATTGTGATTTGGAAATGAGCCAGAAAAGAGTGTCACCAGAGGAGGCTGTGTGCCATTTGTAGAGTCTAGTACTCTGGACTTGGTCAACTACAGTATACCAAAGTGGAAGAGAGTAAGGCGGAAGCACAGGAGGGAGGAGGTAGGGAAAGAGAAGTTAATTGTACTACTGCACCTTGGTAAACAAGTTAGCAACTGTTTCTTTTGCTAGTTTGATAGGCATTATTATTTAAATATTGAAATCTGGTAATAATTCCCAGAACCAAAGAATATTCTTGGAGTATAACACAGGGACCACCAGTAGCCAGCCAAGATCTTTTATTTGATCAACAATCTGTTCGTCATGGTCATATAATTATCAACCAGGGTACTAATGTCCTGTCCCCAGCACATCAGGCTACCCAAGTATGGTGGGGGTGGGGTGGGGTGGGGGCAGTAGGTAGATCGGGAGCTTATGTTGTTTTATAATTTTATATTTGGGAAACAAAAGGCTATAATTTACTATTTATTAATATGATATCTTCCTAGGAATATCTTTCTTCCAAAGTATATCTCAGGTTTACATTAAGATTAGTTTATATACTGACAACATATTGGCTGGATAGAAAGGGTAAAAGGTGGAAAGTATTCCCATAAGCATTTAAAGTGACAGAAGCCAGTTTAGAATGAAAAATTTGTCACAATCTACAAAATAAGTGACATGTGGATATTGACTACGATTGCCTGTTACATAATACTATTATTTTCATTAATGTTCTGATAGAATTTCTGGATGTAATCATTGCATATATGAATAAAATCTCTGAATAAATGAAATCCTCTGTAGGTTCTAAATATCTTCAATAACCTTTGGCATAACTGCATGTTTAAAGCAACTAATGTGTTGGCACATATTAAGGGGTTAACTAAATTCTTTAAAAAAATGACTGAAAAACCAATTTAGCAACTTAATAATGATCTAATAAAGATGGACTGAATTCACCTGAGCTTTGCAAGAGTTGTTTTCACTTCATCATAATTAAATGGTTCAGAATATTTGAAGAGGTGCTTAAAAGTAGATCTGATGTTCATTTTCAGGACACTCCTCTTTCTTGGACAACTTAAGTTTTGTTACAAATGAAAAAATGCAGCACAATCACTCTGACCTTTTCGTATTTATTAATCCTTCCAGCTCTTTTGACTTGTGAGCTGCTTTCTTCAAAATTTCTCCAGGAACATCTGCTAGTTTAGCCACATTTAATCCATAACTCCTTTCTGCAATTCCTCTAGTTATTTGATAAAGGAAAGTGACAAAATCAGGGACTTGTTCTTCACCTGTGAAATAAGGAAAAAAAAAGAGATCAAACCGGTGCCTCAAAGCTGAAACAAATTAGAGGATTAAAAAGGACACGTAAATTCTTATAACTTTATTAAAGCATACAATCTGAAAAAGAAATTCACTGTTCCTACTTGCCTGTTAGCTCCATTTACCAATCTGACATGTCTAGAAAAGGGTAAATACTATTTTGAAACTGCTGTGTACATGTAGGATCTATCTTTTAGCTCACTTAAAATAGTTTTTAACAATGATTCATTGCAAATTTGAACTGAATGTCTATATTAAAAAGATAATGATTTTATTTTTTTACTTTTTCAGAGATAGGGTCTCACTCTATCGTCCAGGCTAGAGTGCAGTGGCACAATCATACCTCACTGTAACCTCAAACTTCCGGGCTCAAGCAATCCTGCCTAGCCTCCTAAGTAGCTAGGACTACAGGCTCGTGCCACCACACTCAGCTATTTTTTTAATATTTTTTGTAGAGATTGGGTCTTGCTTTGTTGCTCAGGCTGGTTTCGAACTCCTGGCTTTAAACAATCTTCCCTCCTTGGTCTCTCAAAGTGTTGGGATTATAGGCATGAGCCACTGCACTGGGATGAGAATGATCTTAGTACATGGTTGATACAATATAATTTCCCCTTTTTATGTTTCTGAGACATGGTCTCACTCTGTCTCCCAGGCTGCAGTGCAGTGGCACAATCTTGGCTCACTAGCAGTCTCAACCTTCCAGGTTCAAGGTGACTGCCCCATCTCAGCCTCCTGAGTAGCTGGGACTACAGGTGCATACCACTAGGCCTAGCTAATTTTTTTTTTTTTTTTTTTT